TTCCTCCAGGCTGTGTGATGTGGTGCTCATGCTCTCCTCACTCAGCTCACATCCTAAGCAAAGGGAAGTTTTCCCTTATCCTTGATCTCTGTTCCATGGAGCCCCTTTGTCTCTCCACCTTCATCTTAGCTTCTTTCCCTGTGCGTATGTTTTTCCTCTTTAATTCTTCCGGCAAAAACTTAAAAGGTGCTTCTCAGTTGTCAAGGCAAACAAAAGCAAGCTGGAACAAAGATATGCTGAATGGTTTTTGGAGCAAAGCAAAAATTATAATGTCTTTAGAAAATGTAGTGAGTCTAAAAGCTCAAAGACTTTGCTCTCAGTCAATGACTCAATAAATTCATGTCACTGAATAACAGGATGATGATATGTTGCCCATTCTGGCTTCCCACCTCCTTCAACCAAACTTCTAAAAATATAACATCAAAGTGAGATCTGATGTGTTAAAGGAGAATGAGTGGAGGAAAGGGAAGGAATTTCTGAAAAGGTGCAAGTAGTGGAATCCCTGTGGCAACGTCTGCTTTAGTGCTGGGTGTGCTAAACTTTACAATAAGCCATTTTTGTTGATATTGCAGCAGGTAAATATTTATTGCCAGGGTGGCCGACCTGTATCTCAGAAGCTGTGCATGCAAAGGCAGCTTCTGTGACAGGGTAACTTCAAAGGGAATGATAGATCCGTACTGGGTAATTCAAATTCCCAAAAGGGAGATGAAATTACTTGTAAGGACCTGCCAAAACCAGTAATATTGGGTGGCTTTGCCACTTACCTGCATGTCTAGCTAAATCTCATCTAGATTACACAAGTGGGAACCCTGAAGGGGTCTTTTTGTCTTCTGCCTATGAACCACTCTAGAACAATCCCTGACCCACATATGTGATATGTCTTTGGCCAAAGATGATCTAGAAATGTGGTTCACAGGCCACAGAAGGCTGGTCTGTCTCATGTGCTAAACAGAGAATAACACTGGCTGTCCAATTATTTTCAAAAAGAACAGAGAAAACCTGATAAGCGTGTGAGCAATGGAACTCATGAAACTTGTTTTATTCTGACTTTGTGATCTGATTCTGTAGTGCCTAAACAGCTTGCTTACAAAGGGCTAAGTTATTCATAACATTACTTTCAAGTTTGGATTTCCTTCCTGTTGAAAAGAAAAAGTAATCATCTAAACAGATTTTAAAAGTTCAACACATCTTTTCATTCTGGTCCAGTATCTTTTCCCTCAAAATGTAACTTTATTACTTTTGAGACCCTGAAATTAGACAACTGATTCAAAGTTATTTTTTGATATGTATACAGGCAATGTAGTTCCTGTTTCCCCAAGAACATGGATGCTAAGAGGTTGTTTGAAAAAATGGCCAAGTTTAAGTAAGCAATTTTATTTATGCATTGAAATGCAGGATTTACACACATAAAGTAAATATAGGAGTCATTGAAACTCTCCTTGATTCCAAAACATACTCCTGGTCTTCATGAAGATTTGACTGATCTTGCTAAGCCTGCTTGGCCCAGGATAAGAGTTTCTAACTAAATAAAATATTTTTACAGCAGCTCACCACTGGCTCTGCTGTAGAGAAGGCTCCAAGTCTGTCCATCTGTCTTTTCTAGAACTTCTGTTTGTAAAGGCAAAAGCTTCTTTCCTTGTGTTCAGTGTTAAGCCCTGAAATAAGGGTGCTTATCCCAGTTTCCAGTGGTAATGGAGTTCTCCTGTTCTGTTCAGTTAGGAAATTCCAGCTATCTCCTCTGTGGTCCTCTCACCCTCCTGTTTTGGAATAGAAGGCTCCTGAGCTGCTAAAGTTAGAGCCCAGTTTGAATTTCTCCTGTGTTTGGAGAAGCTTGAGTCAGCATCTCCTATAGAAAACAGTCCAGAGCTGAACTCTGAAGCTAATTCTTTTTGACCAAGCTCACAGATGGCTGGAACCACTCCCCACTTCAAGTCTTTTATTCATCTCACCCAAGCAGTTAATGCCAGATGTGACAATTGCCTAGACAATTTGAATCTCTTCTGGTGTATGGGCAGAGGTTTCAGGTGGGCATACCTCTATTTCTGGTCAAAGATTCTGCTTGTTCCTTTCTTCTCGTGAACTCATAAACCCTGTCGCTGAGATAACTTCATATTTTAGCACTATGGCAGGAATTCCTCCCTGTGAGCTTTCCAGCAGCTGTTCCATAGCTTGAGCATAAAGTCACCATTTCCCCTCAGGCTCTGCTGCTGCTTCTGGGTGGAGGAGGGGTGGAGATGCTGTTCTAGCACACGGTGGGAAAAGGGAGCTGGGGAGGGCTCAGGAGGCTCAGGAAGCAGCAGCTGCTGTTGCTACAAGTGAAAGAACTGCAAAACACTGTCCTTTTCATTCCTTCCCCCACATACCCAGCCTGTGGTGAGAAGAATGGCAAACAAGCAGAATAAACATGTGCTGCTGTACCCCCGGTCCTGCAAGGAGTTAAAGGGCCATTAAATCTAGAAACAGAACTTGACCCTTTTATTAAGGTTTCAGACAGATTCTTCAATCCAATCTGTTGTGGTTGAAACTAAGGTGAAAGGAATCAATGCTGAATTCTACATCTGAGGAAGCTTCTAAAATAAAAATTTTGTTGATGCTCAGTAATCGAATACAAGACTTGTTTTCCAGTGGGGAATTTCATAGGATACAGACAGTCCTGTTCTTCCTTCTGCCGATCCTTCCTGGAATCTCTTGACTAGTTTAATAGAGCTGGATGGTCTAAACATTTTAATGCTACATTTGGGACATATGATAGCAATTTCCCTGCAAGTGCAATGGCGCAAAAGTACAAGCAAGCACCAGAGCTGTAACCTCTTGCTGGTTTGGTGCCCAGGGTTGCCTCCTACATTGGGTTCTGACTCTAGTTGTCTCCTCAGACAATCTTTTTCTCCTGTCTGGCTAAAAACATCCAAGACACTAACTACCTGAGGAATGGGAAAAGTGCTAGCCCTGTTCCTCTAGCCTCTCCTCCAGGAGCCTCGTGTAGTTTGGTCCCAGCTCCCTGTCTGCCTCTTGGCTCAGATGGTAGAAAGAGCTGAGCAGACAGTTCATTAGCAGCAGAAGAAGGATTTGATTTTCAAGGCCATATCTGTGGACCTGAGAGGTGGCTGGAAATGCAATATGTGAGAGAGGAGTTCAGGGGAAGAGATGATTTTTTTTTCCCCCTCTTGGTAGTAAGAATAGGAGCTAATCTCAAATACTTACCTCTGATACCAGTACCATTCAAGGAAGATGCTGCTTTCACGGTGCCTTTTCCTAGTGCTGTGGGCACATTATAAAGTCATTCAGGAGAACTTTGCTCTTTGTGTACACGGATCTTGTAGCAAAAGGGTCTCTTCTTGCCTGTGCTTCCCCTGAGAAAGGATAGGACGCTTGGTAGGGCTGTGACACAGGTCCAGCCCAATCTGGTCATTGGCCTCTACAGCACATAGAGCAATCTTTACCTCTTCTGGAGGATATCCCCAGGTTGTTTCTTCCTTGATTTGAATAGGAACAGTAGTAATAGCACCTGTGGGTGATGGAGGATACACAGTCTTCCCTCAGTTTCCTAAGAATGACTAAAGCAATATATAAAATATTTTTCATATAAAAAGCTCCTATATCTTAATTTTCTTATGAATCTTATGATTCGCACTCAGTATTTAGGGAGAGAAGTGTATCAGTGTTTATTTTCCCAATTCCATTTTCCCTGCTCATTACCATTTTGCACACAGACTTTGGTGCAACTAATTTTTTTAGTAGCTTTTACATCTAAAAGTGCAAGTATTTAGAAACAAGCTTTTTATTCTCAGTGCAGTGAATGCTGAGAGTATTAAAATCCATGGTATATATGGACTTGGAGAGTTGTAATAATATCTGTTAATTGAGGCCCAGGACTATAAGAAAAATGGCTGCCCATCATACAGTAACCTGAAATTCTCAAATACCAGATCAAGTAAGTTTCATTTTGGGCATTTCTTGCTTCTAATGTCATATCCTCATGCAACAATGATTTTATATTTATGTTATCATTGTTAATAGTGATAGACATTCTGTATTTAATAGGCCAGACTAAAGAGGCTATATATGAAGTTTTAATATTAAAATAGGCATTGTTACAATGACTGATGAAATAAACATTTCTTCCTTGATAGTTTTGTATACTGTGAAAGGAAAATGTCTCCTTTTACCTTTCCTTTTCCAAGTTAGAAAGAAGCTCAAACTAGATAAAAATCTGCTAGGAATATCTAGTCTGTCACTTTTTTTTTCCTGAGCTGAACTGGTCATGAGGTCATGAGAAAATGGTGATGAGAAAGAGTCAATCTGTAGTGGCTGAGGTGTCCCTGTCACAGCTGTGAGCTCTGGTGAGTGGTGGTTGGTATAGGCTGCTACTCAAAAGAGGAAAGATTAGGTAGCAACAGGGAACCAACAAAGTATAGTGGTCCCAAATGTGGATAACACCCCAAATTTAGGAACTGTTGTGTGCTGCCATACCAGCCTACATGACCTGATCTCCTTTCCAGCTCTGCAGAGGGCATATAACTCCTCACGGTGGAATCTAGCTACGGCTGTCCATGATGAATTGTTGGATTTGAAACAAGCACAACCACACAAGATGAATGTAGGGTACAAAAATGTTAACTGTGGAATTTTTTACCTTGGGTTGGTCGAAGTCATTGCAATCTTCAAGTATTTTATCAGGTGTATACGTAAAGAGGTGGGAGGGCAGACATGCAACAGCATGCACCCTCCACTGTGCCTGGGGATGGTGTTCTCATAAAACCAGAGGAAAGTTCAGGGAAATATTCACTCTCAGTAATTATATCCTGGCTTTCTGTGCAGGGTAATTTCAATCTTTGCAGATGCCTTCATCTATCCAGGGAGTTTAGTGGTAAAACTGCTTTTCTTCTCTCCCCTTGATTTTACATCCACCTCCATTTTTACTTCATGGTATTGTAGCTTTTCCACCAAAAACACAGCAAAGAAGCAAGCAACCCTGATGAGTAATTTTTCTGTTCCCACAGGCAGAGATGAAGAACTTGTTCCTTCTGCTTATTCTAACAACGATGTCACCTTCTGCATTTTCAGTAAGTAAATGCTCTTCTGAGCACTGTTACAAGAAATGAAAGATACTTCTGTTAAGAACTGTCAACATCTGTAACTCAAGTGCTTTACAAAAAATATTTCTGAATGAGCTAATAGGTTCAAGTCATCAGGCCTATTGTGGCACATCTTATGAAAAGTCTTACATGGCAATTAAATAATAGAATTCTGGTAATGCCTCTGGTTCTAGGGATTTTATCTGCGAAGGAGTAATTGCTGTCTCCTGCTTCAAAGCTAGAGAGAGTTATCACTTGAGATAAAGAGAAGGGATTTTTGGTTAGTTCATTTTTCTCTTTTCTTTGGTCTTAGAAGTATTAGCCATGTGGTTTAGCTTTGCTGGGAGAGATTACTTTATGTTAAGGCAATGTGATATTATCAGAAAAAGAATGCAGCAATTAAGAACAGGGATTCCTGTTCCTTTCTGAGTGAGAAGCGGGATCTTTCTGAAGTAAATGCAGCTTGAGAACAGTTTCCCTGACTTGAAGTTAAACTTTATTAGTGAGTTGGACATCTAAGGTAAGAGAGTGGAAGTGTTAGCAAAGGAAGATATTGCATGTTTGTTAGGTGTAAAGGAACAGAGAATGGGGGAAAAAAGAGGCAATTATCACTTGGAGTAAGTGTTTTGCTTTCTAGGCCACTTTTGAAGATCAGAGATGAGAGACCAGAAATCAAGCAGAGTTTGTTAGTTGCCATATTTTCTCTTACAGATGGAAATATGCTTAAATGAGTGCTTGCTGTCTCACATGTAATAAAAAATAATACTGTATGTTAAAAGAATCAGAAAAGGAATATATTCAGTTCATCTGTTCACCTGCCTATCTCAAATTTGGAGATTTTGGTGATTTTTTTTGAAGGGATATGACTAAAATACCCTGAGACTGTGAAGACTGACACTTCTCTGTAGCTTTAGACTCTACCCCCTGCATGCAATCAGTAGTTCCTCTTGAAGCCATGCTGAATGAAAGAAGTTTTGCTTGGCCACCACTTAAGCACAGTTTCCCTGACGTACTGGATCTGTCCGAGTCATACATTTCCTCTGAACACGGTTTCTTTATATGGATCTACATTTCTAGGTCGAAATTCTGTTTTTTAATTTATTCTGAATAACTCAACATTGTTATTGTTTGAAGTGCTAATCTATTGAATACATTTTTAGATGCCTTAGCCAGGTTTAACAAAGGGCAGGAGGTGCACAAGGACATCAAAGTTAAGCTCACACAGAAACAGTAAAAATTACTGTGAGGACAGAGAAAGAGGAGACCTTACTATTCTTCCTGTGGAGGGAAAGGTAGAAAATATGCATAAGAATAATTTTACCAGTAGGACCAGTTTGTTTTGCCTTATAACCTGTTTCCAGCTATGTCACAAACGTGTCTAGAAAAAAACATTAAAGGATAGGCAAGTACAATTTCCTCCAATACACTTTGAGTTTGTGAACTCTTTGAGCTTGAGATGTTTCTGTTTCTCTTCTCTGAATTTAGTCAATGCCTCCTTGAAGCCATAATATCAAGATCCTGCTCTTGAGAGCTAAATATCAACTATCATGTAATGATTTATTTATATTAATTAATAATTAATAAATAATAGCAATTTGGGATAGGATTTGTGTTTCCCCTGTGTGTCACTTAAGTTGCCTACATTAAATTTCCGCTGTCATTTTAGTGATAAATCGCTTTTACTATAATGTTTTCCCATCGTTCTTTGCAGTATGTCTCTGGTTTTCTGTTGTCCTTTATTACCCTATATTACCCTTATCATCTGCTTCCATTACTTCTGTGGTTTTGGCATAACTGATAAATGTGTTGAGGCATTCTGGTTCCTTATTGAATTCTGCTGCTAATGTCACTTCTTGCAGTGGCTGGAGATTTTACTTCTGCTTTTGTCTTTGGGCCACCTGCTCATCATCCATTGAAGAGCTGTCCTTCTGACTGCTTAACTTCCCTTGAAGCTTTAGGTGAAGGATTTTTTTGGAAGTTTTTTGCAAATCTGAGTGTATCTGGCAGGTTACCTTTGTTGATGTGTTTGTGAATTGAAGAACTGCAATATTCATAGAAGGATTTGCCTTTAAAAGTCTTATTGACTTTTTCCCAAACATCCTGTATTTATGCAGGTGCCTGCTAGCTCTGTTCTTTGTTATAAGTTCTATTAATTTATCAGTTGATGTCAGTTTTATACTCTGAATATACAGTTCCGTGGGTTCCCCTGGGATCATTTTGTAAACTGGTGTCAGATTTTCCACTTTCCAATGATCACATGTTGAAGTGGATATAGCTGAGAGGGTTGTCTGCTAGTATGTAACAGTTTATCCATTTCAACCTTGAGTTCCTGTTAGGCCCCTTGGATAAACAACTTCTGGTGACTTCATACTGTGTGTTTTGTCCACTTTTCCAAATAAGTTTGGGGTCATAAAGTTTACTCACAATCATCCTCTTTGTAGAGTTTTCTGAATGTGCTCCATTTCCTCCACAAGGATTCCAAGAATTAATTTGACTTCTCTGCAATGGCTGTATCTTTTTAGAGTTCTTTAATTCCCCTCCACATCTCCAGGCCACCCAGAGTTTCTGGAAGCCTTTCCATTTCTGAAAAGTAACTAGTACGTGCTCTGCCCACTGTCCAGCAACAGGGCACAGTCCCGTGGAGCAGCACATCCCTGGCTGTGCATGCACCATCTCCTCCCCAGCAGACAGATAATCCGTGGGTGTGGAAGGAGCCAGCTGTAGGGTGGGACAGCCCAGAGACAGGTAGCACAGTGGGGAGTGTTGAAGAGTTGAACAGGGAATGTGGGAAAGAGCTAGGAACCATGAGGGAGTGGGGTCAGTGATGTAGGGAGAATCTGAAGTGTTTTGGGAAAATGAAGGTGTTGGGGTACTGCTGGATTTTACTGGATTTGTTAGAGAGTATATGCCAATGAGCTATGGCTAGGGTGAGAGTGGGATGAAAGGAGATGTACACAGTGAGTGTAAACCACAAGCCATTAAAGCTAACAAAGCCTGGGTTTTCTTCCTCATCTTTGTAAAGCAGCTTGTCTTAATAAGATACTTCTTCTGCACCACTTTGTATTTTGCTTCCTGCTGTCACCATCTTGTTCACTCTCATTCTTGTTTTTCTAGTTTTACTCAAATACAATTCTTTGATTGCTTATTCATTATTCATAGAAATGGTACTTGGCATTATTCAGCTTCAAAGCTCTTTGCAAGCCTGCTGTGTCTAAGCCGAGATCAGTGGTTAAGACAGAATTATTAAAAAATGCTTTGCTAATGTGGTTTGGATTCATTAGCTCATTTTTGGTAGCATTTTTGGCTAATACCCTAGCTGGTTGCCAATGGAGCCATCTTGAAAATGCGTATTGGCATAGCAGCAGATATCTAAATTATAAACATGTAAGATATACTGAATGTTTGCAGCTTCCTTTCAATTAAGCTTGAGGGTTGGATACCACACATCATGCAGAGTTTAGCTATGTGGAAATACATTATTGGTGATCATCATTGTAGTGCTGGGTAATTCTTCCGGATATAGAAAGGAGAAGGAAATAGTTCATATCCCAAAGAGCACATGGTCTAAGGACACACTCCACGTGGGTTGTTTCTGGTAGGGCACTGAGGGCACTACTAACACCCAGCCCACTGCCCTCCTTGTAGCCTCCTGGGACTGCTGGCTCCTGACCCAGAACAACTCTGCCTGGCCAGCCCTGGACCCTGATGAGCCAGGCCCACCTGCAGTCCCAACTCCCAGCCTGGTTTCAGGTGGAGGTGCCCAATTCCCAGGGCTAGGGCTGCTCCCTGGCTGGCTGTGCTGTCCTGGGAGAGCTTCCCACTACTGCCTCCCAGCCCACAGGGATCAGCCAACCTTTGGGGGCACCTTGACACTTTTCTTTCTTTTTCCCTTTCTGTTATTAACTTTTCTCCCAGCAATTAACTTCTCCCTAAGCACTTACTATTCAATGTTAACAAAGTTGCACGTTTTCATTAGACACTTCTTACTTGCCAAGACTTTGGCAATGAAACCCTTACAGTAGTGGTGATAGTTTTCATTTGTAAAATATTTGGCTTTCACCCTTCTCTTCTACATGTTTCCTAAATGACACTACAGTTCAGGGTGTGTCAAAATAAGCATTAACCATATTTCAGAAACTATAAACACCAGAAAGTAGATATTTATCAAATAAAATGATGCAGTGTTTTTTAAAAAATACTAAGGTTAAAGAGAGAGACTCTGATTTTGACTGTAGTTTTAAGCCATGGAAACACTATATAACTGTAGCACCACATTAGTTATTTTATCATTGTGAGCAATACCTGTTTTCAGTGGGTAATAGCTGGATAGGGCCTTGTCATCAGCCTCAGTCTCCTGCCATATTCTCCTTGTTGGCACTGAGATTTGTATCTGATCCCAATGGAGACTAGTAAGCATGTGAAACAGCCCCAGAAGTCACACTAACAACATTTCAGTGTCCAAAATGATGCTTCAGTTGCATCTTAATAGGCCAAAGCTGTGCAACCTTCTGGGCTAAAAGTGAGCAGTTTTGGCCTTGTCCAAAGGCTCTCGGGCATAGCGTGGTTATCAGTAACCAAGAGCTTTGACTGGTAACTGATGGAGTGGTGCAACAGGATGTTTTGTTGCTGCTCATCGGTCTGGAAAAGCATCACCAAAAAAAAAATCACCAAATAATTCAATGTGACTGAGTTCTGAAAGGTTCCCAAGGAGCAAGGGGTAAGAACTTACCTGGGATGTAGGTTGTTTGGATCTGTGGCTGCAGAACTTCACTGCTCACTTGGGACTGTACAGTAAATTGATGTTTGCTTTGATAGCTTGATAGTATTTGAGTTGCAACAAGGCATTAGGAAATTATTCCCACTGAATCACTTGTCGACAGTTGGTGATATGAACTTTGTGGATCGCTGCATGCCTGCAATGCCTTTGTCTGGGAAGCACAGTCCTCTTCCCATGCATAGTTTCCTATCCATCTCATCAAACTGACTGGAAAGTCTTTCAAGAACCCCTTTTAAAGTGTTCCTATATAGTGGCAGCATTTTCTGTCTTTCTGAGTCAAGTCCCATTCATAGCTTCTCTTCCAGTGCATGTTTCCTACACAAAAATAAATATTACATTGTACATAATAAGCTATCGAGAACACTTTTCCAGAATTCTTTTGTTTGCATGTGATGCATAGTGGAATTGTCTTTGCAGATGAGGTCTGGAGGTCTCATGACTCAGAGGCATAGCTTTTCACTTGCTGATGATATCAGATACAGTTGGCCTGGTAACAGCAGATGCTGCAACTATGTCAGCAATTCTTCTGTCTAAGAAATGAAGAAAGCAATGCAGTGTTCATAAAAATTAAATTCCTGCCCTTCTAAATATCTATACCACAGCAGCCTGTATGCAAATGAGCCCTGAAAACCCACACTCCCAGGGTCATGGACAATATCAATATTCCCAGAAAGGATGCCTTGCTGGTGTCTCAACTGGGGATAAAACTTGGGCATTAGCTGACTGCTTTTGGGGGAGTTTTTAGAAATCAGGGAAGACAGTTGTATGCATTTTCTCACTTCTCTTGAAACATTAAAATATATACTTTATACAGATAAAGAAACTACATTCTTGTATCCATGTAAGGCTGAAGCAAGGGAAGAATGGAACCAAATGAATTTGTAACAGTGATGAAGATTGTGGATTTTTCATTCTGAAATCCATGAGAGAATGGAATCTAGTTGTCCTGGCTGACATGAGATAAAAGCATTCCAGAGTCTGGAGAGAGCAGAAAGAGGCTTTTGGAACAGAAACTGTCTGACAGCATCTAAAAATGTCCTGTTATCAGGTTATGTAATAATATATTTATTATTTATTATAAACATACAGCTTTATCTTTGCCTGTATACACGTGTGCAGTTACTGAAGTAATGAGGACTGTACACAGATTTCCAAATATGGGAGTTGGGCCCCTATTAAAATGTTTCTCTGACACTGTACAGCTTTGGGAGGATTCTTTTGTCTGATGCTCCTTTTGGGGTATACATAAATGGAGTGATACTGAAGAAAATGATTGTTCCTGCACTCTGTGGGTGCATAAGCCTAACAACAAAGAGTCCCTGCAGATTTTACTCTCCATAGAAGGAGTAAATAATTCTAGTTCTGTAGGAGGGATATTGGAATATTTATCAGGGTGGTGTGTGTGTGTCAAGGAAGGGCTTTCTATCCTAATTGCCTTCCAGTAATCTGACTTTCAAATGCTCTTCCTTTGGATTTTTATCTACATGTTTCCTTCTCCCTTATGCTGACTGAAAGGTCCCTTGTTTCCAGGGTGAGCTAATACTGCACCTAAATCAGTCAGTTGATACAGAGTAATAAGACTGCCGAGAAACAGAGTGGTAGCATATTTTATTCTTTTGAGAGTAAGGGAGGAGGGATTACAGGGAGAGGAATTTAGTGTCTGAAAGAAAAACTTGGGAAAATAAGATTGCTGAAAAAAACCTTGCAGAAAGCTAAAACTCTATTGTTGGGATTATGCCCAGAAAGGCAAATGAGAATGCAGAAGACAAACAGATCTGAATATGTGGAGAGAAAGAGTGGGAGAAGGGTTTGGCACAGGGTCAGGGAGATGTTGACTTGGCCAAGAGGAGGCATGTAGAAGAGGCTGTAACCTGGGCAGTGCCACTGAGCGAAAAGGGCAGAGGCAAACAGAGTTAGTCTGAACCAGAGGTATTAGAAAAATTGCACAGGATTTGTGTGAAGAAAAGTAAGTAGCTGGGCTAGGAAGAAAGTATTTCACATTAGAGAAGAATAGGTAATAATTTGGGGTGACTCTGCAGCTAGATAGTTATGGATAATTTGGATATATATGATTGGCTAATATTTCTAATATTTCTGACTGTTGCTCTTCCAGCAGCAGGGAATTATTCCTTAAAAGAGGGTTAAGTAAAGAAACAAGACTGTAACTTGGACATACAGTAAGGCAGAGAGTGTGTGTGGAAAACCATAAAACCTGTCTAAATTACAAGAGAGGATTAACCCATGCATCTTGCCTGAGTTAGACTCACTGGATGATTTATTAGACTAGCTCCTATTTCTAGCAGAGGCTTGGATGTTTGTGTATGGAGGCAAGTTAGATTACATCACATTAATTTTTTTACCTTTTTTTTCTCGGCCTGCCCACTCTTCACTACAGTAAATGTCTCAGTGCCCAAACGGCCTGCACTACCTTCTCAGTGTTACAACTGTGTACATAAACTGCCCTACAGGTGCAGCTGCACAGCAAACCCTGTTTTTACAGTGTCACTCACCACGTAACCCTGCACTTACCTTCTCTTTTCAAGCAGCATTAATCCTATTGCATCTTGCAAATATTAATTTTTTTTCCTTAAGATATTGTCATTCTTCTCACTGTCCTGCTGTATGTGGATCCCATCAGCAGCAGAAGGCCTCTTTTTCTGAAAATATGATATTTCATATATTTCCAAGACAATGTATTTTGGTCGGTTCCATCACACTTGTAAATTTTTGTCTATATTATAATGGTTATTTCTCAAAATGTCCGTATCTGACTTTCTAAATACAAAATTAATAAAGGTTTTGCTAATGATGGCACAGACCTGCCATTATCGTTGGAGACAGTTGGGTAAGGGGAAGAAAGGTCCATATAGGGAATTCTGTTGCAGTAAAAAGTATGTTCTGGGGATATTTTTTTTCTGCTTCCTTTACTTCTCTTAAGTATTGGACTTAGAGCCAAGGATTTGGGTTTAAGTGGCTCTATTGATCTGATGTGGAGTGACAGTGCTCAAAGTCCCTGAAGTAATGATTTGCCTTTGCTGTCTTGCTGAGATGAAGATGTTATCCTCTTTTAGATCGTTATTCAAAAGTGCTGAAATTCTGTGAATAGACAAACAGTAGCAGTTAAGAGAGATCATGACGCTGGATGTGCTGTATGGCTTCAGCAAGCTAATACTCCTAGATACCAGAGACCTGATCCTTCTGATGTATTACTGTGTGCCACTTTTCACGTTAGAAATACAGCACAGCAAGACAGCCTTTTTTGTAAGAGAGCACATAGGACCTCTGCTTCTTTTTATTTTTTTTCCCTGTGTTGCCATGTCTTTTTGCTATGTCTGTGGGGTTTTTCATTGCCAGGGCCTCAGGATGAAACGGCAGGTTGGTGTCTGGGGGAGCTGGAGTGAATGGAGCAAGTGCAGTCGCAGCTGTGGCGGTGGAGTCAGCTTTCAGCAACGGCGCTGCTATTCCCAAAGGTGAGGCCTAACCTCTTTTTTTTTTCCCCCTTTTCTTTTCTTTAAATGTGTTGTACTGTTACTGAGCTCCTGCAATTATGTTCTAACATGCATCCAGAAAAAAAATGTCTTTGTGTTTGATCCCAGGGGACTGAGCCCACTTTGAGATGAACCTCAGTTTCAGTCTTGTCACTGCTGTTTTTGAGTAGTGCCCTCTTCAACACGTGCTTGCTTTGGCTCCTGTGATAGAGCACAGCAATTTCTCTGTGAGATTTGAGGCTGTGCAATCAGGGGATTGGCACGGTAGCAGCTGCTCAATCAGGTCTAGTGTGGCAAGCCCTGAGGGAGATGGAAAACAGGCCAGAGCAGTTGGTTTCTCTCCTGAGAGCTGGTGGCAGTGCTGAGGTTTCCTGGGGTTTATGATTCCCAGGATGGTAAATTGCCCCAGAAGAAATGAAAGAGTGAATTTGGCTCAAGCAGTGTTAGTGCTGTGCCACCTCATTTGCAGCTGAGTTAGCTGCATCCTAATGAGGATGATAATTTGTTCTGTACCTGTTGGGAATGGTGGACCTTAGAGATCCTGTTGTGAATGAAAATAAAGCAAAGGAGGAAAAAAAGAGCCAGACTATCAATAATATCCTGAAATAAAGAGCCTTTCTCTGTTTAGAGGAATGAGAGGAGGTTTTGTAATAGAAGAAGCCAGAGTTATGAAGCTGCTGCTTCCCACACAGAATAAAGAAAGGTCTCTTTTGAAGACTGTCCATTATGGTTTATACCTGCCAGAATCTCTGGAGGCCTGTCTCTCCATTTTAGGAACACTGAGATATTAGACACTGATTGCCTTTTTAGATCAATTTCCTCCATAATTGTTTCTCTCCATAATTCTCAGCTGGGGTCATTTGACTGGACTAAGGATGTTGCACACTTTCCATAGGCTTGTTTAGCTCTTCCTAATAAGGGATCTATTGTGCACAAAAAAATCAAGATAAATTATGGACAAAGATATTCTGAATTGGCCACTATTCTCGTGCTGCTCATAACATGTCTCTCTCTCTTGTATGGACATCTCAACCCTTTGCTGGTGGATGATGGACTGAAATCTCAGCTTCCATTATTTAGTTGAAACATGACCCTGAAGAGCTGTGCTACAGTTGTTCATGGTGTGTGTCTCATTCATGCCAGAACACAAACTACAGCATAAAATACCACTAGAAAATGCCAGCTTGCTTTTGTTGTGAAGAAGTGCGTTTTAGTTATTGTGGGAACTCTGTGAGGGTGATATGCTTGCTGTGAAGGTATTTGTAACATCTGCCATGAGATTACTTTTTGCACGTGTATTCTTCAGAGAGCTCCATGTATTTTTTCTGTCTTCCAGGACAGAAGGTCCTTCCAGTTGTGTTGGACCAACACGAAGCTATAGATCATGTAATGTCCAGGTATAGTGCTCTGGTTTTAGTTTTTCTTGCTTGTTGCTCCCTTTCCCCAGACAAACATCATTCTTGTTCAGAAATAAGATGTGATTGTTAGTTCCTGTTTCTCTGATGTCACTGGTCGATGCAGTTCATTAACAGTATCTGTTCAAAAGTATATTGAAATTATGCTCCAATTTAAAGAGGAGGAATAAGAATAAATCCCAATTTTTTATTGTATACTTTATTTTCCTCCTTTTTTCTAATACTCCGATACAAACCTTTTCTCTTCCAAACAGAACTGCCCGGAAGGCTCCCGGGATTTCCGGGCAGAGCAGTGTGCAGAGTTTGATGGGACAGAATTCCAAGGCAAGAAATATAAGTGGCTTCCATATTATGGAGGTAATGATAAACATGTGGTGTTGTGCTTCATTGCTACCTATCAACAATATGTTTTGAAGTGACTGCAATGTTTTTTACTGTAGTATCCTTGTAGAGTACTTCCTTAGTTGGAGTGGGGGGCATGGGAAAAAATCCTTTTGCCAGCAGCAAAGCATTGCTGTCCTGAAGACACTGGATGCATTGGGCCAAGAGACAGCATTGCAGCAATACCTACTTGTCTCCTGTAACAGCCATCCCTTCAGAAACATTGCTCAAGGAAATCCGGAACTGGTTGCAGCTGGGTTCCAAGTATTAGAGGAGCAGAAGTTCTGCTGTATTTTCCAATGCTGTCAGAAGAATATTAGCAGGGCACAAGAGAAGCAAATATATGTAATTAATGACTGCTTCAGAAAATATGACATCTATTTCATCTGCCCATGCTTTCTTGGGCAATCAGCTCAGAAGGCAGGTGTGGGAACCAGGGGTCCATGCTCTGAGCTTTGATATGGTATCATTCACAGTTGGTTAACAAATTATGAGGGATTTTAAGATGGATTTAAAGGTTTTTTTGGTTTTTAAAATAACAGTTCTGTATCAGCTCTTGTTCTCATTCTAGAAAGCCCTATACTCCAAAGGAGTATAAGAGCAATCCTACTAAGGAATAATCAAATATCCACTTAGACCAATGTCCCCTGAGGAAATATTTGCATACAGTGAGATTTTACTAGGGTATTTTTCCAGCCTCCAGCACTTTGTGACCCAGAAATTCATTCAATATCTGCCACTTAATATCAGTAGACCCCTCTGTTTCTGTTCCTGTGATCTAGAACTAGGCTCCTGGTGCAGTATCAAGCTATTATACAATGTTTTTTTTTTCTCTCCTGCCAGCACCTAATAAATGTGAGTTAAACTGTATTCCCAAGGGAGAAAACTTCTACTACAGGCACAAGGAAGCAGTGGTAGATGGGACTAACTGTGAACCTGGCAAGCGAGATATTTGTGTAGAGGGAGTCTGTCAGGTTAGTCATCTTGGTGCTTCCTTCATTCGTCATTGGCTCTGTAAATCTTTTTGTTGTCTCTCTTTGTTCTACTTGACCTTTCATAATAGCATCAGAAAAGGTGAATCACTCAGTTTCGAGGTGCTGAGGAGCATGTGGACAGCATTTATCTGTCTCTTGATGTGAAATAGTAGATAACAGCTTTGTTGTTTTCTCTGCCCTACCCTGACTTTCCAGACTCCCTAGATTCAGGCTTTCTCAATAGATCTGTCCAGCATTTGGCTTTTTTTTACCCCCTCTGTCATCACAGCTTATTCCTATTAATGCTCCTGTGCTCTGACAGGCTGTTGGCTGTGATAATATGCTGGAATCTGCCAAGAAGGAGGACAAGTGTCTGCAGTGTGGAGGAGATGGCAGCACCTGCTATGGTGTGAAGGGAACTTTTGATGTGGCCAGCCTCCCTAAAGGTACAAATGATCTTAGGTAGTTTGGGCAGGTGAGAAGGAGAGAGTTAAACCAAAATTCAACTGCTACAAGGGCTGGTGGGGACACCTGCTCACATGATTGTTATAGACATGCTTTGATGTTCACTTGAAATATCTGTGCAGTGTGTGGCCTTAGCATCAGAAAAGGTACTCTTGGCCTTATCCTGGGAATCACTTCCTTAATCTGTGTCCATGCTGGAGTACTTGCCATGATGCCAATGTTTTTCCCCACTCCCTCTCCAGCAGGTGCTACAAATGCACAATAAACACATCACCATACACTGCCTTTGTGAGGCTGTCCAGTGTCTTCATAGCTCCACCAGGATATGTGCAAGGAATGCTAGAAATGGGACTGCATCTTCTGCATTTGGCCAATTTTGAAAAATTTCAAGACGTCAACCACACTTGTGGTCACATCTCTTTATGTTGAGCTCCAATATGATTCTTGCTGAAATTCCACAGATTTCAAAATTAGAAAATTGACTTTTCTGAGGTGTCATTGGAATTTTTTGCATGTGGATTGATCTGTGAATAATGTAGGGAGAGGTTATTCAGCATGCAGTTAAAGCGATGATGGAAATGCTTCATGTCACCATCTAAAAGCTCATCTAGTTATTCAGGCACAAATGAAACCACGAGGCACAGAAGAGTGGCTGTATGGCACCCACAGTCAGATATTGAATAATCCCCTTTTTTTTTCAGGTTACAATCAAATCTTTATTATCCCTATGGGAGCCACAAGCATCCAAATTAAGGAGGTTAAGCCCAGCAGGAACTTTCTAGGTATGATTGATGTCAGAATCTGTGTATCAGTCCATATGGATTCCAGCCATTATGCTAAAATCTGGTTTTAAGGTATGGATTTACTTTGATATGGCAGAGTGAAAAACTGAATATCAGGATCTGAATATTGAGTATCCTTGAAATGTGAGTGATGCACAGCTCTGGGCTTCACATTTACTTCATTTTGTGTCCTGTGGAGATCTTGCTGTTGGGTGGGGAATAAAAATAGCCAAACCACATTGAGACTTCCTGCCTGTAACTTACAAGGAATCTAGCTGATCTAGCCAAATTTGGCTATGAGTTCTGTTTGGTGAATGCAAACCCTACCTATTCCTGCCATCTAGAAGTTTGCTGTGAACTTCTTTTGTCCATAGATTTTTTTGGGGCATTTGTACAGCCTAAAACTCTAGTCATTCTGCAGAGAGGGAAAAACGAAGGAAAAAAGACTTTGCCTAGTTTTCTGGGCAGGACTGAGGAAATTCCAGTGGAGAAAGCAAATCCTCTTCTGCTTTCTGAGTGTTCCATCATTCAGTGCTTAGGACAAATCAGTCTGGTGATGTTCTCCTTCGTAGAAAACTGGATTCAGCACACATCTTGCTTTCTGAATAGAGTATCTGATGAACCAGATAGTGGTATAAAGGCAGTGGAGTGTGAATCCCACATCTTAATGGCAAGCAGGACAGAGGCTGACATTGGCTGTGCTTCAGCTACTAACAGTGGGGAATGCAGAGGCAGGGCAGGAGTATGCTGGAGGCTGTGGCTGTGCAGCAAAAAAGTGCTTGATCTGCAGCAAAGCTGGCAAGAACCATTGTTTGAATGTGGAGCAGCTTCTGCTAAAAAAGCCATACGGCAAGGACAGCATTGATGGAGGATGATGGTCCCCCTCATTTGCTTGTGATGTAGCATTGAGTGGAAGCAGGAGCAACCTTGTGGAGTTCTTATGATCCTTTCTCTGGCATGTGTGTTTGTCCAGCTGTCAAGAACGTGCGAGGGGAGTATTACCTGAACGGGCACTGGACAATTGACTTCAGCCGGGCGCTGCAGGTGGCCAGCACGGTGCTGCACTATGACCGTGGCTCCGAGGGGGATGTGGCCCCAGAGCTCCTCCATGCCCGGGGTCCTACCACAGAACCCCTCGTCATTGAGGTGAGAGGCTGTGCCTTCCCCTGACACTCTGATCTCATGGTGGGAGTACGCTGGGAAAAACTGGAGATGTGATGGAGCCCCCAGGAATCTTACAAGGCTGTGGGCCTTCAAGGTAGACTGCAGAAATAGCACTTATTGCTGCTCTGGTTCTATTGCCCAGAAATGAGCAGTGCAAGGCTCGATGTTGGTTTTCTGCCTATTCCTTTGGGCACTGACTTTAAGGGAGGCAAGAGTCAGCACCAAATGGTGCTGGGGCAGGGACAGGCTCCAGGGCACTGCTTGTTACACTGTGCTGTAGAGCAGGAAATGTACTTGCTGTGATAGGAGCAGCTGGATCTTTTAAAGCCAAGAGGGATGAATGTACCCTTCTCTGAAAAATAATGCTCTCCAGAATGTGATGGAAGGCAAGGAGAAAATCCAGTGCAGAGAATTGGTGCTTCTTGAATGGGAGGGGTGCAAGTCAGCTTGAACCCTCAGACATGGTGGGGAAATTCTGTGAAGAGGAAAAGTGTAATTTCCCTGATTTCCTCCCATGCTTTTGCAGCTCATCAGCCAGGAGCCAAACACGGGGGTTCAATATGAATATTACCTGCCCGTGCAAGGACAGGCCTCGGGTTACAGCTGGAGCTACAGTTCCTGGAGCGAGTGCAGCTCCGAATGTGGAGGAGGTAAGGGGAGAAGACCTGAACCGTGGTGGCTAGTGTGGGGCTTGTATCCACACCCTGCAGGCAGTGTGACAGTGTGCTGCCCTCTGCAGCAGCTTCCCAGCAGTCTCCTGCTGAAGGCAGCACTGGGATCTGCAGGGTGTTGCTAAGGTTTTGTCAAGGGAGGGTTATGCATGGAGTCACAACAGAACTGTGCCCCATGCCTTGTTCTTATTTTCCATTCCCTAGTGCTCAGATTATTACTAGGACCTGTTAAGAATCTTCATAGATAGCGTTTGTTTTGACTCGCTTTGGGTCTTCATAGTATTTTCAACCACTTGAGAGGTCCTCTCCAGAGAGACCTGGCCTATATCAGTGAATCACATCATTCTTCCCTGCCACAGCCTGGAAAATTCCCTCTAGCCAAGAGGACTGTCAGATCTCCTGGGGTGTCCTATTAATGCCTTAAGTTTTAGCTTTCATATTTTTCAGATTCTGTAGTGCATTGGTGTGTGACTCTGAACTTCATATAGAGTGTTAGCAAGTTCTCTTCACAGTTTAGATAGACAAAACAATCCTTTTCCAGCCTGAGAACCAAGCACACCATTGCAGCTTCAGGCCCAAAAAGTATAAACAACAGCCAATTTGAGGAGAGAAATCTGAGAGGATGGGACTTCATAACCTGGAGCTGTAATTGGACAATTAACCCCAATATGTAAATGGACCAAAACTTATAAAGGTGTGAAAACTCGTGACTAGTCATCCATCTTGGGTAGAGCCACAGCTGAGCTCAGGTACTGCCCAAGGTGTACCCTTTGAAATCCTTTTAATAAATACCTACTTTATTTGTTTAACTCTGTCTAGCCTCTGTTACAGGTCAGGCTCTTTAGGCATCACCAGCATATTCAGTTTACAGATTCCTCCATGAGCAACATTATGGATTTTAAGCTTAAAAGAAAAACAAATCCAAAAACTTAATTCAAAGAAACAAAAAAGCCTTCTCCAGCTGAATAGTATAGTATAGTATAGTATAGTATAGTATAGTATAGTATAGTATAGTATAGTATAGTATAGTATAGTATAGTATAGTATATAGAGTTCTTCTCAGCCTCTTCTGGGCTTCTGTGTTAATGGCCATTTTGGCAGCTTTAGCCATGTTATGACTGTAGGTGCTAAAATTGTTTTTGCATGGGCACTCATACCCTTTAGGAAGCATGAAGAGTTGCAAGTTTTACTCCCCATATCCAGTCCTCATGAGACTGGCCTTTTGAGTCTAACAGGGGATCCCCAGTTCTGCTGTACACTGCACACAACTTGCAGGGCTCCTTCATGAGCAGCTTACAGGTCAGGTAGAGCACTCCCCTTGTGAGTCTCGATTCATATTATAACAGTAAAATTCCCCTCAGCTACACAGAACTACTGTCTCCCTTGCTCTTCCAGTAGACTCCTATAGTGTGGGAAGGCATCGTTTGTCCGTATAATGAGAGACAGAGACCTGCATCTGTCTCTTCTCCAGAATGGCAGGGGCAGGTCTGGATTCCACACAACTTTAGAAACTTGTCTAGCCAACCCCAGTGCATTGCTAACCTGGCCCTGGCTAGCTTGTGTTGATTAGATACTCTCCTGCTTGTCCCCTAGGTTTCCAATCCCGCTTGGTGTTTTGCACTATAGACAATGAAATTTATCCAGACTATATGTGCAGGAATAAACCACAACCAGACAACAACCGGACGTGTGGCCATCAGCCTTGTCCCCAGACAAAACGGTACCATTTCCTTCCTTCTTCTGGGGTCTGACTTCTTCCTGGGGTGCTTTTGGAACCAAGAAAAAAGTGACCCTCCCACTTCTGCCCTCCAGCATGGCTCTCTCCAAGGAGGTGCTTCACTTCTAAGAGAAAGCCAAAGACAAAAGATTGGGATGATAACACAGGGATGAGTCATGAACATTTCTGTTTGTACAAGGAAAGGGCTTAATACATCCTGTATTCATTTTATAGGCAATTGAATTTGCCTTCCAAAATAGGGTTGTGGAAGACAGTTGTCTAGACCATGTAGGAGATATGAAACAGATTCTCTGGTTTTTCTTCTCTTGAGCTGGAGCCTACAAAGACAGAATAGAAGGTCTGTGCTGGTGTCATTTTATGTCATTTCTGTATTCCCAGTGTCTCTTATCTTAGACAGGGATGAATCCTGGAGTTTTTTCATTCTCCAGCATTTTCAAACCTCTTTACCCAGCCATTTCCACCTTGCCCCATACAGCTGGTTTCACTTGGCTCTTACTGGGCATCCAGATCTATAACATGAGCATTAGCTGTGTATCTGTGTACCAGTAGAGGCCTCTGAGAGTACCAGTGTGCATGAGAGGGCACCTGGGAGCATTTCTGAATACAAGTTAGCCTGTAGCTACTTGTTTTAAGTTCTTTAAAACCTTTGTTCTGTATATAAAGGACTTCTTACATCTACCTGCCGCACGCCTGGAGTTACAGCGGCGCATGGAGCTCTCAGAGGAAGAGGTAACAAGGAGAAGGAAGTTACAGAAAGCACAGGAAAGCAGCTTGCTGTCTTCTGCTCTCCACCTAGTTGTCCACTGAAGTCCATGGGGGCTTTCCTCTTTGGCACTGGTGATAGAAGTGGTGTGCTTTGCTTTTGATGCTTGCCAGTGAAAATGATGGTGGAGGGTGCTGGCTGGCAGCTTTGCTTAGGTAGCTGCACGTGCCTCTGGTAACTTGATTCTTAGGGGGCTGAAAGGGGATGATTTCTTCAAGGCTTCTGGCTGCTTGTTCTCACGTTTTCTCTGGAAACAGGGTAAAGAAGTCCTGGAAGATTTTTTTTATTATTATTTACTTATCAAGATTAATAAAAGAACGTAAATGAAAAGAGAGCATGATCATTTGGGCAATTGTAACATTGGCCAATGTGGCATAGAAAAAGTTTCTTAAAAGCTCTTATTTTTAGGTATGGGCCCTAGCAGGCAGAAAAGAGCCTGTAAGGTGTGAAGAGTACAAGGATGTGACAGATACAATAATGTACTCTGAGATATTAGAAGTTAAAAGTATCAAAAGCAAAACCGTTGTCCCACAGCAAGCTCCTAATAGCTTAGGACTGGCAATTTTTGCCCTCTGATGAAGGTCCCAGCCTTATGGTTGACCTTGTCTTAAAAAGGAAATTAAACAGTGTCAGAGAAGTCTTGACTCGCAATTGAAGGAAGCTGTAGATGATCCCATCTGGTTGATACAGCCTTTCCAAAGCTGTACATTTGCTTTACAGCAGGTAGAATACAGTAGTTAGGGGGGCGTTATTCCCATTGGAGCTTTTGAGAAAAATTGATGAATAATTTATTATAAGCCCTGCAGCCACACCATTGTAAATGGCTTCTACTGAATGTATTTGTTCCTTTTCCAAAGGAAACATTTTATAGTGAAGGCCATTCAGTTTTGGGCTGACATGTGCATCTTTAGCAACAAAGAAGGGTGTGTTTAGGAGCTGACCCTGGCAGAGTCTACTATGGAATCCTGTTAGGATGTGAATGTGAATTGGCTGGCTGAAATTCTGTTAAGGGGTGGAAAGGGCCAGGTTAGGGATGTAGCTGGAATGCTGGGTGAGAAAAACATGAACTGCTTTCACTCCCTGGCTGGGCCTTACCTGGCTGCAAGGGGACATAGCAGCTGGCAAGCAGATCACCATGATGTTCCCCCTCTACAATCACTGCCTTTGGACTGCACTGCATGCTGGATTTGGGGATGAAACTTGACATTGTCCCTGAAGCCAGGCTATGCAAGGTGTGCTTCCAACTACCCAGCTATCTCTGAGAAGCTGGACTAGGCATGGGCAGAGATTTTAGTATCTAGACAGATTGTTTTGTGGACATTCCCCTTGTTAGCAAGGGTGTATCATTTCTGCAGCAGCTTCAACAACCAAAGACAAGAAAAAATCTATTTACATTTTTGTGGGCTTTTTGTATGTGTTCTGCAGTTAGAGTATTTGACTGATGGGAGGAATAAACCAGCTTTCTACTGGCTGTCAGTGAAAAGTTAAGCACTTCTGAGAGTGTCTGGTATGGTTTGTGGGCAAAGTAAGGACTTGGCTTGGTTTTACTGTTTCTGATAATGTCTGGAGTGTAATGTGTGGATTAGGCTGTTGTGGTAGCTTTTCTTTTAGCTGATCTGAATTGTTTCCTTTGAGCTTTTTCTTTCCTTTTTTTGATGTTCTATTCTAGGCATGACATTTTTGCAGACATCAGGAAACCAAAAGCCACGGAGAGAGATCTTCCTGTTCTGGGAGAGCTCTACATTTCCAGAGAAACAAGTGTTTTGTAGCTGGGGATATGTCTCTGGAGTAGAACTAATGCTCTGCATTGCCAATTAAGCTGGGCACGCTTGGTCAAATGGGAACTTGCCTCTGATTCTATTCTGCAAAGGGACGTCATCCCTCTGATTTCTACAGGATGTGGCACTGACTGTTCTGTGCCTCCGGGCAGGTTGGCTGGGCTTATTTTTTTTTTTTTTTGTGCTTGATTCTGTGACCTGCAGGTGGAAAACGGGAGAGTGGGGACCCTGCTCAGCCACCTGTGGCGGGGGCACCCAGTCTCGCTCCGTGTACTGCGTGGTGTTTGACGGGCAGAGCTGGCAGGGGGTGGTGGATGACGCCGAGTGCATGGCCTTCGCCCAGCAGCCGCGCCGCAGCCAGCCCTGCAACGTCCGGCAGTGTGCCACCTGGAGCACGGGGCCATGGTCCCAGGTCAGTGCCCTGGGCAGGTAACACCCTCCTGGCACCTATGGAGGAGGATCTGCCAACGCTTAGGGAGAAAGAGCCAGGCTACAAAAAGCGTGTGTCCCTGGACAGGTGGTGTGCAGAGGTGTAGAATTTGTCTGTGCAGCCCTCCTATGAACACATCCCTGTTCCTCAAACCTGTGCATGCCTCTGCACCTCTGCTCTTCTAATTGCATGTTCTCTCTTCTCTGGTCTGCCAATCCTTTCTCCACTGCTGTGTTTTTATCAGACCCACCCCCCCACACACACACCTGGCACTGGCTTGGTTTCTGAGCAAGGCCTGGTGAAGGCAGAGCGTCAGCTGGGGATGTGCAGTAGCACACCCTCCTCTGTGAAACAGGAGCTCATGGCTTCTGCCTCTGCTGCTTATTTCCATGTATTTTGCTGCCTTGCATCACCACCCCAGGACAGCAGTACTCTGGAAACACTGGTGACCTGCTGTTTGCTGTGTGTCTGCACAGAGCTTCTCCAAACACAGCCATGTGGTGCATTTTTGATGGTTGTGTGCATTTATATCTGCAGGAGTGGAACAGCTTAAACTGTGTGTGCTCAGTGCAGCCAGACAGGCTTTTAGAAAGCATCTTACATTCCAAGGGCTTAGAAAGTAAAGGGAATGTCTACTCAGTCCTAAAGTACAAATGAATTTTCCTCTATTAGAAGTACATGCACGCTTACAACATTTGATTTGCAATTCTGTGGTTGTACTTAGCCTGTCTGAGTTTCACAACAGCACAAAATGCAATTTTGAGGCATGATGACCTCAACTGGAAAGCCCTTCCACCCCCTCTTTCCTCCCACCTTGTGAGATGTGACTTTGAGGTTGTGGAATAAGAGCACTATTTGGGGAAGGCACCAAGGGTCGTGTTCTTATAAACTGATGCCTGAGTGATTCATTCCGGGGTTCTCAGAAGCAACTGTGTTTTGTGTACTCTCAGAGTTGAAAGGTTACTCTGCTAAATTAATGGCTGAAACTCAGCTGGGAAGCTCATCTGAAATGACTCAGACTGTCCCCAAGTTAATGCTCTCTGTAAGACACCTTGGTAATTCATATAGAAGTATGTTGGATTCCAGGAAACACCACTGTGAATTTAAGAGGGCATTGAAAATGTCACAAACTAGTTACTAGTATAGAAGTTGTCACGGCTCCATGCTGTAAAAATAGAGCACAAAGTCTTCAAGCAAAAGACATGAGCAGTTTAAGAACCTAACCTTTTACCTTCCCTAAAATTCTTTACCTTGCATTGGTTTTAATCAGATGTAAATAACATGACTTTCCAGATATTTTCTACCATGTTTTGTTCTCAATGTATTCTGCAGTGTTTATATTTTTCTGAATTCATCCTCCACATCTCCTCTGGGGAGAGATGAAGAGTAATTATATGAATAGGCTAAAAATCATACAGTAAGCTTCAGATCTCCCAGACCTTATCCTATGTTCTGATGCCTTTTTCTCTCCTCTACATCATAAACAGCTACTCTGCTAACTCCCACCCCAGAAAATTATTTCAATGATAGCTGGTTGTTTCTGGCAGTCTCAAAATGGAGCTCTGCTCTAATGATAGGGAGCCCAGCCTGGAACTGGGTGGGCTTCTTTGTAATTGTTGGGCCCCTTTCTGCAGTGCTCAGCCAGCTGTGGGGAAGGAGTGCAGACCCGGACTGTCACCTGCAGGACACAGCAGGGCTCCCAGGCTCAGGACTTCGCTTGTCTAATGGAGCCAAAGCCATCAGCCACCCAGCCCTGCCTTAAGGAGAACTGCATCCAGGAAATTGGCTGGCACGTTGGAGACTGGGGTCTGGTGAGCACCTCACTGTCATGGCTCGGAAATTACTGATTGTACTGCTGTGCTCCTCACAAACGAGTTTTCATCTGTGCAGTCTGCAGGTTGGCTGAGGCTGGGAGCAAGGACTCCTTCATTACCAGCCCCTTGGCTCACAGTTGGGTTGTAACTGGCACTGGTAATGCTCCAGTTAATCTGATGCCTGCCTTGTGTGCAGCTGCTGCAAAAACAAATCCTTCTGAGGAGAGATTATCGTTTCAGTGACAGTGGCAAAATGCAGCCAATAAGCTGAAACAATCCACTCTTAATGCTTATTCCCAATTCTTTGCTCCACTGCTACGATCAGCAGAACAGCTCTCTGGCCAAGTGTGGCTTAGAGCTCTAGGCTTCAGGACTGGTCATTGCACTTGGTGATATGCTTTGAAGTACATTTTTGTGATTATTCAGATAAACTGATCTTCAGATGGATTAATCTTGTCTTTGTGGTGGAAGCCAGACTGTCTTCAACCTGGGAAAAGTGTCAGGGAGTAGAGATACAGGTAGATCCAATCATCAGGTGACTTCCAAACACCCTTTTTCACTTCTGTGCTAGCCAGACCAGCTTGTTCTGAGCTTACATCTTCTTCATGAGATGTGGGCTAAGTTTTAGTTACAGCTAAAGAAGTTTCATATCTTAATCTGATTTTTCTCCTAACTTTGTGATGTCAGAAGGTCTCCCATCTGCCTCTCTGAATTAGAGAGAAATACTCTCCTAATGTTTATAGAGGTTGCCATGAGCTGTGTGGGTTGCACAGACACCTCATGTTATTCCCTCCTCTGAGATACTG